TTGAAACTTCATATGTATATTTGCGGTAATAAATAATGATCACTGAACAGCACTCATATCTGTGTCATGTATTTAGGCTTATTTATCTTCCCCTTTTTAGCTCACCTGTCACAATTTGAGTGAGCTTTTGTGATCGCTTTTTGTCCGTCGTCTGTCCGTCCGACCGTAACTTTTACTTTAAACGACATCTCCTCATAAACCACTAAGCCAATTTCATCCAAACTTCACAGGAATGTTCCTTTGGTAGTCAACTTTAAAAATTGTTCAAAAAATTTAATTCTAAGCAGAACTCTAGTTGCCATGGCAACCGAAAGAAAAAACTTGAAATATCTTCTTTTAGAAAACCGTAAGATCTAGAGCTTAAATATTTGGCATGACACATCATCAAGACAGTGTCTACCAAGTTTGTTCAAATAAATGCCCTGGGGTCAAAATTGGCCCCGCCCAGGGGGTTATTGATTTTCCTTATTTGTATACAGTAAAAACTTAAAAATCTTCTTTTAAAAAAACCAAATAGCTAGAGCTTAGCTATTAAGCATGAAACATCTTCTAGTGGGTGTCTACCAAGTTTGTTCAAATAAAAGCCCTGGGGTCAAAATTGGCCCCTGGTGACCCCAGGGGGTCATTGTTTTTCCCTTTATGTATATAGTAAAAACTTTAGAGCTAGAGCTAAGATATTTTGCATAAAACATCTTCTAATGGGTGTCTACCATTTTTCTTCAAATTAGGGCCCTGGGGTTAAAATTGGCGGCACCCCAAGATCATTGATTTTCCTTATATGTATATAGTAAAAACTAAAAAAATCTTCTGTTAAAAAACCCAAAGAGCTAGAGTTTAGATATTTAGTATGAATTATCTTCTAGGGAGTGTCTACCAAGTTTGTTCAAATAAAAGCCCTGGGGACAAAATTGGCCCGCCCAGAGGGGGGGGGGGGGCGGTCATTGTTTTTCCCTATATGTCGTATGATAAAAACTTAAAAAGTCTTCTTAGAGCTAGAGCTAAGATATTTATCATGAAACATCTTCAAATTGGTGTCCACCAAGTTTGTTCAAATAAAAGCCCCTGGGTTAAATTTGCTCCGCCTCAATTCTATATACAGGTGAGCGATTTCAGGGCCATCATGGCCCTATTGTTTACTTAGTCTCTTGGCTAATGTTTACATGTAAGTTTTACATATCTCAATAACTATCAAAGATTTTGTTTTGAAACTTCATATATGCATGAAGGGTCATAATTGTATGTCACTGACCAAGTTCCATAACTCTATCTTGCATTTAGGCTGAATTATTTCCCCTTTTCTACTTAGTCACTTGGTTAATGTTTACATGCAAGTTTTACATATCTCATTCATTATGCATTCATAATAATTAAGCAGTGATTTACTTGATAAAACATCTTAATAACAAGCCTTTGTACCTTTTTGGTCAATTTTATGTATTCATAGGTAAGCATTATTATACTCAATGAAATACCCTTGTGACAACTTTTTCGAATAGTTGAGCCTTACTGTCCTCTGACAGGTCTTGTTATTATTGAAAATAGAATGAATGAAATCGGGACCGAACATTTCGTTCGGATAAGAAAGGATTCCGGATTAGAAGGGTTCAGATTAGCAAGGCTCCACTGTATTTGACCTAGGGTCAATTGAAACTATACAAGAATGTTGATCAGCATGTGTAGTTGTGCACCTGGGTATTTTAGTGTGGATTTATTTAGTATTTGTAGAGTGTTATTGTCCATGACTTAGTAAAAATTTGCAATTTTCAACTTGTGTCACATGTAGCTCAAAAAGTATTTGACATTACGGTCATGAAGCTTTACAGGAATGTTGATCAGCATGTTAAGTTGTGCACCTGGGGTTTCGCTTGTGAATTTATATGTTGTGTCAGAGTTATTGCCCTTGACTTAGTGAAAATTTGCAATTTTTATGCTCCCCGAACGGTGAGCATATAGTCGCCACTTTGTCCGTCCGTCCGTCCATCCGCTTTTTCTTGTCCGCAACATTACTTTGAAACAACAAGAGGTATCAACATGAAACTTTGTAGGCAGGTAGATCTCATTGAGAAGGTGTGCAGTGCACAAGAACCGTAACTCTGCCTTGTCTAATTTTTGAATAATTGCCCTTTGTTTATTTTTACACTTTGAACATTGTCCGGAACATAACTCTTAAACTATAAGAGGTATCAACTTGAAACTTTGTAGGTAGATAGATCTCATTGAGTAGGTGTGCAGTGCATAAGAACCGTTACTCTGTCTTGCCTAATTTTGTAGTTATTGCCCTTTGTTTATTTTTTCACTTTGAACTTTGTCCGGGACATAAGTCTAAAACTATTAGAGGTATCAACATGAAACTTTGTAGGTAGATATATCTCATTGGGTATGTTTGCAGTGCACAAGAACAGTAAACTCTGCCTTGCCTAATTTCTAAATTATTGCCCTTTGTTTATTTTTACACTTTGAACTTTTTCCAGGACATAACTCTAAAACTATAAGAGGTATCAACATGAAAATTTGTAGGAAGATAGATCTCATTTAGTAAGTGTGCAGTGCACAAGAACATAACTCTGCCTTGCCGTATTTTTCAATAATTGCCCTTTGTTCATTTGTACACTTTGAACATTGTCTGGGACATAACTCTAAAACTAAAAGAGCTATCAACATGAAACTTTGCAGATAGATAGATCTCATTGAGTAGGTTTGCAGTGCATAAGAACTGTAACTCTGTCTTGCCTAATTTTGGAGTTATTGCCCTTTGTTCATTTTGAACATTGTCCTGGACATTTCTCTAAAATTATAAGAGATTTCAACATGAAACTTTGTAGGTAGATAGGTCTCATTTGGTAGAAGTGCAGTGCTAAAGATTCATAACTCTGCCTTGCCTTATTTTGAAGTTATTGCCCTTTGTTTATTTTTACTTTTTGACTTTTGTCTGGAACATAACTCTAAAAGTATTAGAGATATCATCATGAAACTTTGTAGGTAGATAGATCTCATTGGATAGAACTGCAATGCTAAAGAACCTAAACACAGCCTTGTCTAATTTTGGAGTTTTTGCCCTTTGTTCATTTTTTTATACTTTCCTGTGTCCAAAACCTTCTCGGGGAGCATCACCTGGTACAACCGGTTCTTGTTTTTGGCTGTAACTGGCTGTAACTTTGCTATTATTGAATGTATTGACTTCATATTATAACAGAACATTCTTAAGGACAAGACCTTCATGTTTATCAAACTCAAATTGACCTAGGCTGTTTTATGACCTTGACCTTGAAGGTTTAATTATTGAATTTTGGCAGATTTGTACATTAAATGACCATATATATATGTATACACGTATATTAAGTATTCAGCAAGTTCTCTGGTCCCAATCAGTGAAGAAGACAATAAAAATGTCATCGTTGATTTGTGAGACATGATAACAGAGAACAAACTCTATATATGTGAATGTTGAGTCAGTGTTTCAATGTGTAGTGCAGTTTGTGACTGTATATAAAGCTGTTCTGAAACCATCATTTTCTGTGATGGTGGATGAGCAGTGGCTATGCTTTCATGACTGTTCTGCTAGGCGCTGTGCCGTAATTGGACTGGCATATAGATGTGGTGGTACGTGTGTATATATTCTCTCATTTCTATATATATATATATATATATATATCTTTTTTTTTCCATAATACACATGCAGATATATATGGAAAGGATTCATACTTTGACAAAACTAATGTGACAAGACATTTTAAATTATAAAAAGGAAACGTTAAGATTTTTCAAACGTTTCTTTGTTTGCTTTTAGAAAAGTTAAAAGTTGAGCGTTGCCCTCATCCGGCGGTGTCTCTTGATTTATACTTTCCTGTGTCCAAATCTGTCTCTCGGGGAGCATCAGCCGGTTCAACCGGTTCTTGTTCATTTGTGTCGTGCGTAGCTCAAAATGTATTTAACCTTAGAGTCATGAAATTTAAGAGGAATGTTGGTCAGCATGTGTAGTTGTGCACCTTGGGTTTAGCTTGTGGATTTATCCAGTATTTGTAGAGTTATTGCCCTTGACTTAGTAAAAACTGTTTCATTATGTTATGTTATTTGTTCCTTGAGTGCTTGAGTTAGAATCAACCAATTTTACAGGAATAATGATCATCACTGTGAAGCTATATGCACCTGGGATTTTGCATGTGGATTTTTTTCAGTTTTGTTAGAGTTATTGCCCTTAGTAAAAATTTGCAATTTTCAACATGTTCATGCATAGCTCAAGAAGTATTTGACCTGTAGGCCTGAAAGTTTACAAGAATGTTGGTCAGCATGTGTACTTATCCACCTTGGGATTTGCTTGTTCTTGCCCTTTACTTAGTAAAAGATTTTTAGTTTTCAACACTCATGTGGCACATGTATCCCAAAAAATATTTGACCTAGAGTCATAAGATTGACAAAACAAAGTGGGGGCACCTGTGTCCTATGGACACATTTCTAGTTTTTGAAATTAAATATTTTTCAACTTAAACAAATAACCTTTTCATTATGTCTCACAAAATTTTTGGAGACATATTGTTTTTGCCTTCACCATCTGTCTGTCCTTCCGGTTGTCTGTCCATTCGCATTAAGCTTGTCTGGCCTTCACAGGTCAAACTACTGTTGGGATTTCAATCAAACTTTACAGGAGTGATCAGTACCATCCTTAGTTGTGCACATCACCTCGCTGCACAAAATGGCCTCCAGAGCTAAAAATAGAAAAATCTTGTCCAGCTTTCATATGTCAATCTACTGATGGGATTTCAACTATACTTTACAGGAGTGATCACTACTATCCCTTGTCGTGCACTCCACAGGTCAAACTTTTGGTGGGATTTCAACCAAACTTTATATGTTTTTGTGACAAAAACCCTTCTAGTTGAATAATGAAATTAATAACATCAAATTTGAGTTTTGTTTTTAACCAATAACACAAATTTTGTAGACAAGAAGTGCATGTATGACATTTCAGCTTGGATATTTAGAAAATTATCTTCTTCTTTCAGATGTCTGGATTAGATGTTGATAAAGAACATATCTTAGAAATGGCATGTCTTGTCACAGATGCTGATCTGAATATCATTGCTGAGGTAGGCATCTTTTACTTTGAAACAATATTTATGCTCTCCAAAGGTGAACATATAGTTGCCGCTTTGTCTGTCCATCCGAATGTCCGTCCGCACGACCAAATAGGTATAGGGGGCCATCTAACTGTAAACAGAACAAAAGAGAACAATGGAATTCATTCCGTAACAATAAAATAAGGCGCCATAGCCCTCTATTAAACAAAGAAAATAACAATAGAAATGGCCCTTTATCCCTATTCGGTCCTTCCGCTTTCTTGTCTGGGACATAACTCTGAAACAACAAGAGATATCAACATGAAACTTTGTAGGTAGATAGATCTCATTGGGTAGAAGTGCAGTGCTAAAGAACAATAACTCTGCTTTGCCTAATTTTGGAGTTATTGCCCTTTGTTAATTTTTTCACTTTGAAAATTGTCCAGGACATAGCTCTGAAAGTATAAGAGATATTAACAAGACACTTTGTAATTTGATAGTTATCATTGATTAGATGTGCAGTGCAAAAGAACCATAACTCTGTCTTTCCTTATTTTAGAGTTATTGCCCTTTGTTAATTTTTACACTTTGAACTTTGTCTGGGACATAACTCTGACACTATATGAGATATGAACAAGAAACTTTGTAGGTAGATAGATCTCATTGGGTAGATGAGCAGTGCAAAGAAAACGTTAATTTGCCTTGTCTCATTTTTGGAATTATTGCCGTATGTTCATTTTTATGCCCCCACTATAGGGGGGGCCATGTAGATTTACCCTTGTCCGTCCATCTGTCCGTACGAACCCAGAGGTACTTGTGTGACTTGGAGAACAATGGGTAACAGTAAACTCTCTTTGATCCTATTCATTCCATTTTTACTTGTGTGTCTTTTTTTAAGCCTTGTGTGAAAATGGCCAAAAAGATCACAGGAAAAGTCCCATAAGTACATTTTGTGAGTACATCCGCCTGTCCTTCCCTCCGTTCCCTTTTTATGTCGCACGTAGCTCAAAAAGTAATTGACCTAGAGTCATAAAACCTTACAGGAATGTTGATCAGCATGTGAAGTTGTGCACCTTGGTATTTTCATGTGGAAATATTTAGTACTTTTAGAGTTATTGCCCTTGACTTAGTAAAAATTTGCAATTTTCAACTTGTGTCGCATGTAACTAAAAAAGTATTTGACCTATAGTCATGAAACCTTTCAGGAATGTTGATAAGCATGTGAAGTTGTGCACCTGGGTATTTTCATGTGGAAATATTTAGTATTTTTAGAGTTATTGCCCTTGACTTAGTAAAAATTTGCAATTTTCAACTTGTGTCGCATGTAAATCAAAAAATATTTGACCTAGAGTCATGAAACCTTACAGGAATGTTGATCAGCATGTGTAGTTGTGCACCTGGGTATTTTTGTGTGTATGTATTTAGAATTTTTAGAGTTATTGCCCTTGACTTAGTAAAAATTTGCAATTTTCAACTTGTGTCGCACGTAACTCAAAAAGTATTTGACCTAGAGTCATGAACCTTACAAGAATGTTGCTCAGCATGTGAAGTTGTGCCCCTGGGTATTTTCGTATGTATATTTTTAGCATTTTTAAAGTTATTGCCCTTGACTTTGTAAAAATTTCCAATTTTCAACTTGTGTCGCACGTAACTCAAAAAATTTAACCTATAGTCATGAAACCTTACAGGGTTGTTGATCAGCATGTGTAGTTGTGCACCTGGGTATTTTCGTCTGGATTTATTTAGTAGTTTTAGAGTTATTGCCCTTGAATTAGTAAAAATGTCAAAAATTGGCCCTGCCCGGGGGCAGTGATTCTCATTATGTACACGTAGTAAAAACAGAAAATAAAACAAATGTTTTCTGAATGGGAGAAAGCTATAGCTTAGGCCATCCTTACAAAAATGTTTGTTTGCAGTAACCCGACCCAGAATTTTCAAGGTGGGTAGGTAGGTCGATTTTTTTTTTTTTATTATTGAACTGTACTCCCAAATAAACATGGAATTTCAAAATGCTGGACAATATATGCTTTGATAATCTGGTAACAATTAATAAATTGATAACTGAATTCTAATTTAATAAGACCTACATTTTATTTCTTCTACTAACCTTTAACAGAATGAAAACAAAGCACAAGGCATAATTTTCTGATTCAAAAAAAATTTTTTTTATCCAGACCATGAAAAAAAAATTTGAGTAGGGGCAAATTTTGTGAGTCGGTCGCGTTACTGCAAACAAACATTTTTTTAAGGATGGCCTTAGATATTTGACTTGAAATGTTGTTTGGTGGACCTGTATCAAGATTGTTATTAAACCCTTGGGTCAAAATTATGCCTTGCCCAAGGGGACAGTGACCTACTTTCTTGTACAGCAATGAAATTTTGACCATGTGCAGTTTTAGTTGTAAAATTGAACTTTGACCTAGATTTTGATGATGTGACCTACTTTCTTGTCCTTTGATGTACAGCTATGAAATTTGAACCATGCGATGGCATAGCATTTTTCTCAAATGCAATCTTGTTGACAAATTGAAATAAAATCTCTATACATATCCTATCTATATTTCAAAGTGACTGAGTGACTTATCTGTGTCTAAAAACTAGAATGAAATTCAATACTATCCACATTCAAATCAATACAAAATAAATGAAACTGTAACACATGATAATAACAAGGCTAAGTCTCAAATTTCATTTCAAGAAGCAGATAAACAAACTAGAAACAAAAACTATATACCAAGCAGGTGCTAAGCTTATAAGCAATGAAATGTTAATGTATTTTTTAAATGAAAATAAATACACTTACAACAAACAAAGATCAATCTTCTCATGTTTTGAATACTTGTAACTACAGTACAGTTATTTTTAAAATGAGATAAATTCTGATTGTTTTTAGATGTAAGATAACTGATGTGATAATTTCAGACAGAGGATTTGGTGATACATCAGCCAGATAGTGTACTTGACAATATGGGTGAATGGTGTACAAAACACCATGCAGAGGTTTGTTTTCTGTGTTTGTTTATTATCGGTACTTCAAATCATGAAGATTTAAGTGATTTAAAAAAATATTAACTAATGACATATAGATCTTAATGCCTGACATTATTATGCCCCCGAAGGGAGGCATAATATAATCGCACTGTCTGTCCGTCCATCTGTACAGTAATTATGTGGCTAGAGGGACAATAGGTAACTGTTCTTTCTCTTTGATGTCATTCATTCCGTAGTGCTTTTATGTGGCTATTTTCTTTTGTGTGGCTAAAAAGAATAATAGAGAGAACAATAAGAGTAGCCACATTATTACTGTCCCGTTAGAACGTCTGTCCGTCTGTGAGTCCCCACTTAATTTGTCCAGACTGTAACTTTGTCGTACATTGAGGGATTTTGAAATAACTTGGCACAAATGTTTACCACATCAAGACAATGTCTCGCGTCCAAGAACCACGTCCCTACCTCAAAGGTCAAGGTCACACTATCATTTTGAAGTTTCACATTATCGCAATTAGAGTAAATAGGTACACACATTCGTGTCCGGACTGTAACTTTGTCAAGCATTGAATGATTTGAAAATAACTTGGCATAAATGTCTACAACATTAAGACGATGTGTAGCGTTCAAGAATTACCTCTCTACCTCAAAGGTCAAGGTCACACTATCATTTTGAAGTTTCACATTATCACAATTAGAGGAAATAGGTACACACATTTGTGTCCGGACTGTAACTTTGTCATGCATTGAATGATTTTAAAATAACTAGGCATAAATGTCTACCACATCAAGACGATGTGTCGCGTCCAAGAATTACGTCTCTACCTCAAAGGTCAAGGTCACACTAACATTTTGAAGTTTCACATTATCACAATTAGAATAAATAGGTACACACAATCGTGTCCGGGCTGTAACTTTGTCATGCATCGAAGGAATTTTAGCTCACCTGTCACAAAGGTGAGAGGGTGAGCTTTTGTGATCGCTTTTTGTCCGGCGTCCGTCCGTGCATCGTCCGTCCGGTGTCCGTAAACTTTTACTTTAAATGACATCTCCTCATAAACCACTAAGCCAATTTCGTCCAAACTTCACAGGAATGTTCCTTTGGTGGTCACCTTTGAAAATTGTTCAAAGAATTTACAGTTAAACTTCGTTCGCTCGAATTCGGATCGCTCGAATACCTCCCTTCGCTCGAACTCATCGCCCAGTCCCGGGAAAATTCCTATATAATATATATTGTTCTACCTCGGATCGCTCGAACACCGATCGCTCGAACTCTCGAACCTGATCTCTGGTCCCTTCGGCAGAAATATAGTGAAAATCACACCTTTTCGGTCGAACACAAAAAGACAAGTCGGTATGTCCTAAGTAAATGACAGTCGGCAACACATGTTTTTAACACCTCGTGATCGTGACAAAGGTAATTAAGGTTAATTGATACTAAATAAGAGGTGTTGTAACTGATTTGTTTGTTATGATAATATTGTTGATTTGCCGTTTATGGTAAAGATAAAAATAAAAAAAAACTTGTGAAATAAGTGAAATATGCATGCCAATAAAGAATGACGTTCACCTGGACGGCTTTGATTACAACCGTGGTTCATGTAAAGTGAAACAGTGTTATCTATTTATAGAATGATACTTATATGTGTGTTTATTTTAGTAAATGACTACAAATACATGCTGCTGTAAATGTTTTTAATAAATATTTTATTAATTTTTTTTTTAAAAATTAAATTCATCCCATTAAAAACATATAAATATATTTTGAACATTGTTCAACAAATTTGGTATGATTGCCCAATCGAACTCAACCGATTACAATATACATGAATATAGATCAACACAGCGTACCGTTAATACTTAATTAAAACACTGGGATAATAATTCTGAATATGAAATATTCGACGAACAGATGAACTAACAAACAATTATATTGTTGCATTTATCATTTGACCGATGTAAGATAGGAAAACCTTTAGGCATATGATCAACGTTATAATAGTTCAACCTCGGTTGGCTCGAACTACGATCTCTTGAACAAATTTGCACAGGCCCTCCGAGTTCGAGCGAACGAAGTTCGACTGTAATTCCATGCAGAACTCTAGTTGCCATGGCAACCAAAAGAAAAAACTTTAAATATCTTCTTCTAAAAAACCCAAAGAGCTAAAGCTTAGATATTTGGCATGAAACATCTTCTAGTGAGTGTCTACCAAGTTTGTTCAAATAAAACTTCTTTTAAAGAACCTAAAGAGCTAGAGCTAAGATATTTAGCATGAAACATGTTCTAATGGATGTCTACCAAGTTTGTTCAAATAAAAGCCCTGGGGTCAAAATTGGCCCCGCCCCGGGAGTCATTGATTTCCCCTATATGCATATAGTAAAAACTTAAAAAAACTTCTTTTAAAGAACCTAAAGAGCTAGAGCTAAGATATTTAGCATGAAACATGTTCTAATGGATGTCTACCAAGTTTGTTCAAATAAAAGCCCTGGGGTCAAAATTGGCCCCGCCCCGGGGGTCATTGATTTCCCCTATATGCATAAAGTTAAAACTTAAAAAATCTTTTTTTAAAAAAACCAAATAGCTAATGTTTAGATACTAAGCATGAAACATCTTCTAGTGAGTGTTACCAAGTTTGTTGAAATAAAAGCCCTGGGGTCAAAATTGGCCCACCCCGGGGTCATTCATTTTCCTTATATATGTGTATAACAAAAACTTAAAAAATCTTCTTTGAAAAAACTCAAATAGCTAGAGTTTAGATATTAAGCACGAAGCATTTTCTAGTGAGTGTCTACAAAGTTTGTTCAAATTAAAGCCCTGGGGTCAAAATTAGCCCCGCCCCCGGGGACATTGATTTTCCTTATATGTGTATAGCAAAAACTAAAAAATCTTCTTTGAAAAAACTCGAATAGCTAGAGTTTAGATATTAAGCATGAAACATTTGCTAGTAAGTGTCTACAATGATTGTTCAAATAAAAGCCCTGGGGTCAAAACTGGCCCTGCCCCATGTGTGTCATTGTTTTTAGCTCGACTTTTTTTTTTTTGAAAAAAAAAGTAGAGGTATTGTTATAGTCAGGTCGGCGTTCCCGTTGCCGTTGCCGATGCCGTTGCTGTTGCCGTCCGCAAACTTGTACCTGGATCATAACTTTTTTATTTCTTGGTGTATTGTCTTCATACTTGGCCACAACAACCCTTGGGACAAGACCTTTCAGTAGACCACACTAACCTTGACCTTCATCCATAAATGACCTTGACCTTCAAGGTTAAAAGTCCAATTTTTGCTTGTTCATGCTGTTATTGGCTGTAACTTTGTTATTTTTGAATGGATTGTCTTCAAACTTGAACATAATAATCTTCAAGGATATCCCTTAAAAATAACCAGTCAGACCTTGACCATCACTCATAAATGACCTTGACTTTGAAGGTCAAATTATTGAAATTTTCATTTTTTTGGCTATTATTGGCTGTAACTTTGTTATTTTTGAATGGATTGTCTTGAAACTTGAACATAATAATCTTCAAAGATAACTGTTAAAAATATACCGAAAGATCTTGACCTTCATTCATTAATGACATTGTCTTTGAAGGTCAAATTATTGAAATTTTCATTGTTTTGGCGGCAACTGACTGTAACTTTGCTATTATTGAAGGGATAAACTTCATATTAAAACAGAACATTCTTAAGGACCAGACCTTGTTGTTTATCAAACCCAAATTTGCTTGGGCTCTTTAATGACCTTGACCTTAAAAGGTTATATTACTGAATTTTCTCAGATTTGTGCATTTATTGGTGTGTGTGTGTATATATATATCATGTATAGTATATGCATCATATATTATAAATGTGTGTGTGTGTGTGTGTATGTATATATATATATATATATATATATATATATATATATATATATATATATATATATATATATATATATATATATATATATATATATATATATATATATATACATATATATATATATATATATATATATACATGCATATATATATATATATAAATGTATATATATGTATGTATGTATATATATATATATAAATGTATATATATATGTATGTATGTATATATATATATATATATATCTAAATATATATATATATATATATATATACATGTATATATATATATATATTTTTAGAAATTTATGCTATAATTAGGCTCAAAAGCCTGATCTGAAAAAAATAAGCTTTAGAAAAACTTTTGTACTTGCAATTTTCAGTCTGGGTTAACAGAAGCTGTGAGAAATAGTAAGATATCTTTAAGTGATGCAGAAAAAGAAATGCTTGACTTTATTAGGGAACATACAACAGGGAAAGCACCTTTAGCAGGAAACTCTATACATATGGACAAATTGTTCCTGGCAAAATACATGCCAAAGTTTACAGATTATTTACACTATAGAATGATTGATGTTAGTACAATCAAGGAGTTGTCAAGGTAACTAAAGTTGATGTCTGAACTTTTTAAGTCTAGGGTCAGTGCTGTGTTTTTGTGCCCCCACTTTAGTGGTGAGCATTCAGATTTACCCTTGTCTGTCTGTCCGTGCGTCCGTCCATCCTTTCGTCTGTCCATCCTTCCGTCTGGCTGTTCGTTCTCTTTTGTGTCGCACGTAACTAAAAAAGTATTTGACCTAGAGTCATGAAACTTTACAGGAATGTTAATCAGCATGTGTAGTTGTGCACCTGGGTATTTTCGTCTGGATATTTTTAGTATTTTCAGAGTTATTGCCCTTGACTTAGTAAAATTTTGCACTTTTTCAACTTGTGTCGCATGTAACTCAAAAAGTATTTGACATAGAGTCATGAAACTTTACAGGAATGTTAATCAGCATGAGTAGTTGTGCACCTGGGTATTTTCGTCTGGATATTTTTAGTATTTTCAGAGTAATTGCCCTTGACTTGGTAAAATTTTGCAATGTTCAACTTGTGTTGCATGTTACTCAAAAAGTATTTGACTTAGAGTCATGAAACTTTACAGGAATGTTAATCAGCATGTGTAGTTGTGCACCTGGGTATTTTCGTCTGGATATTTCTTGTATTTTCAGAGTAATTGCCCTTGACTTGGTAAAATTTTGCAATGTTCAACTTGTGCGGCACATTCCTCAAAAAGTATTTGACCTAGAGTCATAAAACTTTACAGGAATGTTAATCAGCATGTGTAGTTGTGCACCTGGGTATTTTCCTCTGGATATTTCTAGTATTTTAGAGTAATTGCCCTTGTCTTAGTAAAATTTTGCAATGTTCAACTTGTGCGGCACATTACTCAAAAAGTATTTGACCTAGAGTCATGAAACTTTACAGGAATGTTAATCAGCATGTGTAATTGTGAACCTAGGTATTTTCGTCTGGATATTTCTAGTATTTTCAGAGTTATTGCCCTTTACTTAGTAAAATTTTACAATTTTCAAATTGTGTCGCACATAACTCAAAAAGTATTTGACCTAGAGTCATGAAACTTTACAGGAATGTTGATCAGCATGTGAAGTTGTGCACCTGTGTATTTTCGTCTGGATATTTTTAGTATTTTTAGAGTTATTGCCCTTGACTTAGTAAAATTTTGCAATTTTCAATTTGTGTCGCATGTAACTCAAAAAGTATTTGACCTAGAGTCATGAAACTTTATAGGGATGTTGATCAGCATGTGTAGTTGTGCACCTGGGTATTTTCGTCTGGATTTAGTTAGCAGTTTTAGGGTTATTGCCCTTGACTTAGTAAAATTTTGCAATTTTCAGCTTGTGTCGCATGTCACTCAAAAAGTATTTGACCTAGAGTCATGAAACTTTACAGGAATAATCAGCATGTGTAGTTGTGCACCTGGTTATTTTTTTTCATGTGGATATTTTTAGTATTTTTGGAGTTATTGCCCTTGACTTATAAGATTTTTGCAATTTTCAACTTGTGTCACATGTAATTCAAAAAGTATTTGACCTAGAGTCATTAAACCTTACGGGAAGGTTGCTCAGCATATTTAGTTTTACACCTGGGGTTTATCTTGTGGATTTATCCAGTATTTGTAGAGTTATTTCTTAGTAAAAACCGTTTCATTATGTTGTTATTTATTCCTTGAGTGCTTGAGTTAGAATCAACAAACTTTACAGGAATAATGATCAACATCACTAAATTACAGGAATAATGGTTCACATCACTGTGAAGCTATGCACCTGGGACTTTGCACGTGGATTTTTTCAGTTTTGTTAGTTATTGCCCTTGACTTACAGTAGTATAAATTTGCAATTTTCAACTTGTTCATGCATAGCTCAAAAGGTATTTCACTTGTAGGCCTGAAAGTTTACAAGAATGTTGGTCATGTGTACTTATGCACCTTGGGGTTTGCTTGTGGATTTATTCAGTATTCGTAATGTTCTTGCCCTTTACTTAGTAAAAGATTTTTAGTTTTCAAACAATATTTGACCTAGAGTCATAAGATTGACAGAACAGTGGCGCCGTGGGGGCACCTGTGTCCTATGGACACATTTCTAGTTAATTTTAATTTTTTTAATTATTCAAGTATTGATTCAAATTAATGCTTAACCTAGATAAAACAAACAAATTGCTTGTCTTTTAGTAGATAATAGTAGATTGTTGATAATGATAGAACATAACAATATTTCAGGACAAAAGAAAATTTTAACATTCAGTTTTATCAATGTGATTATTTTAACCCTTTCGCTGCCAGAGTGTTATTGTTTTATTGATCACCTATTTGCCAGAGGATTTTCTAAGAAATTACTATATTAATAATTAATATAATTATTATTATTTGTTATTAGTATTATAATAATTATATATGTTTCCAAATCTGTGAGTATAATAATAATTATTGTCGATGGTATAATTTTCTTTATATTTATTATTATTTTTAATATTATTATTATTAATTTATTATCATAACTATTATTATTATAGAAACGGCTAAAGCCGTCCATATGGCAAATACGCCGAAAATAACAGGGACGGCATAAGCCGTCCCTATGGCAGTGAAAGGGTTAAGGACTTAAAATTGCTTACTTTAAGTCACTATTTTGTGCATGAAAAAAGGGATATGACTAAAGAAGGTAACTTATGATTATGACATTAATTGCCTCCCTTGATTTTTAAGAATGTGGAATTGTTTATATGTCAACATTTAAATATATCTGCAGGAGATGGTATACCAAAGAATTTTCAAATGCACCAAAGAAACAATTATCACACAGGTAAACCTATTATATAATTGTTCATGATCACTTTGATTATCTCATGTTTAAAAAGTTACTGTTAGCCAAATACCAGAATTGCTTCATGATTAAGCCTTCCTTTTCGGAGGGTTATCTGTAAATTACCTTGCATGGACCTGGTAGCTAGTGTGTGCCTCCTTCAAGTCTAAAGCATGATGGTTGTAGCTATAGATCTTTTCAAGTTTCCTACTACATGTAGTTTTGGAAATGTTTTTAGCTCACCTGTCACAAAGTGACAATGTGAGCTTTTGTGATCACAATTCGCCCGGCGTCCGTCGGTCAATTTTTACTTTAAACGATATCTCCTCATAAACTTCTAAGCCAATTTCATCCAAACTTCACTGGAATGTACCTGTGGTGGTCATTTTTAAAAATTATTCAAAGAATTTAATTCAATGCAGAACTCTGGTTTCCATGGCAACCGAAAGAAAAAACTTAAAAAATCTTTTTTTGAAAAACCCAAAGAGCTAGAGCTTTGATATTTGGCATGAAACATCTTCTAGTAAGTGTCTACCAATTTGTTTAAATAAAAGCCCTGGTGTCGCGAGTAACGTGAGTCATTGTTATATGAGCGGTGCTATCTCGATTGTTTACTTTAAAATCGTGGAACGGTACCGAGGACGGTACTTGTAGAACGCGTTGTTATTCTGGTCACATGACAAGTATTTCCCGCTCCTTTACAGACGGTATATAAGTTATTGCACATTGTTAAACAGACAGAAAGAAAAGTGCTAGAATAAATTGTTAAAGAAAAATTAAATCAATTTGACAATAAAAGGAATTACATTTTACAAAGTATTTTTTCTTTGTTAAACATAAAGTGATATGATAAAATAAATTATGAAAACTGTTTACGTTATTGTTCAATTTGTAGTATGAGTATTGAGATGACTTATAAGTTAATACATTCCTAAAAAATAAAATCTGTCTTCGCGAACCGGATCTACGAATAAACAGATATATGAAATATGATGGATCTTAAAAACTTGGAAATTTAAAAAGAAGCATTTCAAACAGTTTAGATAAGATAAAGAGTAGATAAAAAAAAAAGAGGGCTTAAAAACCTGTTAAAAGTTAAAGTGTCTAAAGTTCTTCCTAAATCTAATGTAGACAAGTTAAAGAAGTGTAAAAGTGGAGAAAAGAAGTTAAATGGAACAGTTTAAAAGTGAAAAGGAAACAAAGTTTAAAGGTAAATTGAGTTCTTAAATATCAACAGAAGGAAAGTTGAAAGCTGGCTTAATTGAAAAGTTTAGAAAAGTTAAAAAAATGTTCGGAATTATAGAGTAAAAAGATGTAAAATGTTTGATTAAAAGTCAAAAGTATGTACAAAGTTATTACAAGAAAAAAAGTGGACAAAAGGTGTTTTAAGTATTAGTAGTGGATTGAAACAAATATAATTAAAATTTCTCTACATTAGAAAATGGCGAGTATACAATATATTAAAGGTGTAAGAACCAGATTCCGAAACATTTCAAAGTTGGAAATACAAAAAGGTGATGGTCTGTTGGACACAGAAATCGATGAGGAATATGATTTAGACAGAATATTTAATGGAAGTGTCAAAATGTTTTGAATAAAGAAAAGGTTGAGAGACAAAGTGAAAAATTAGTGGAATCGATTGATAAAAAAGAAGGCGAGATGATTAAGGAAATTATTGACGAAGATCTAACCTTGTGTGAAAAAGCCTTCGACATGTGTCAAAATTTACAAGTGTTCTCAAAAACGTTGATGCAAAGTAAAGAAAAATTAGAATGTAAAATTGATCAAAAGGATTACACTAGGGTCAGTGCTGTGTTTTTAATTACACCCTAGTGGAGGTTCAAAAGAACATTCAACAGTTACTTGAAGCTCAGATGAGACAACATGAAAAAGAAAAATGAAAAGAAAACGAGAAAATGTCATCAGTTAAACTTCCAAAGATAGATATGATCTGTTTTAATGGTGACAAAACAAGATGGACAGAGTTTTGGGACAGCTTCAAAAATGCTGTACATAATAACAAGTACATATCAATTGTTGAAAAGTTTAACTGTCTGAAGGGAAAACTAGTTGGCGAAGCAAAATCTGCAGTGACAGGGTTGGCATTAACTAGTGACAATTACATAATGGCGGTGGATATCTTGAGACAGAGATTTGGTAATACACTTGAAATTATTGATTTGCATTACAGTCAGCTTATAAACATTTCAAACGCTACAAGTAAAGTAAATTGTTTAAGTTGTTTGCTTGATGGTGTTGATTAACATATAAGGAGTTTGGAAGTTTTAGAAGAGAATGTAAACCAGGACTTAATAGTATCTATAGTAAAATCAAAGTTGCCTGAAGATGTGCTAGTACAGTTGGAAATACAAAATGGAACTGATAAAAGATGGACGGTATGTACCTTAATGGAAAAATTGTATGCTTACATTGTAGCATGTGAAAGAGCCCTAACAGGAGCTTCTAAACATAGAGATTTTACATCTTCAAAAACATTCAAATCACTGGAGCGTGAGTGAAATACATACAAGACAATATGTGAAAGAAAAGATCGCATAAAAAAGCAGTTGTTTTAGGTGTCTAAAGGAAGGACATTTATCTTTAGATTGTAAATCAAACAAGAAGTTAGTTTGTTTCATTTTACGCCTTTTCCCAACAGTATTTCAGTCATATAGGCGCAAACAAGAAGTGTGTGTACTGTGACAAAATAAACGCCCACCATTGCAGTTTGTGTCCAAAGAGGTTCACTGTCCAACGGACAATTTCAAATATGTCAACGATGTTATATCTGATAAAGCAGCAGTATCAGATACAATGACAAACTCATTTGATGTAAGATATGATAATGGACTGATGTCAATGAACGAAATGGTTCTTATGCAAACTGCCCTAACAAAAATAAAAAACCCAGGTGAAAGAACTGATACAGAAGTACGTGTATTACTTGATTCTGGATCGCACCACAGCTATATATCAGAAAAATTAGCTCATAAGTTATGCTTAAAAGGGGAAGGTGAACAAGAAATCCATGTCGTGACTTTCAGGAATACAAAAGCAAAAACAATTAAAACAAAATATGTAAAGTTTGATGTGAGGCTAAATAATGGTTAATATGTGCAAATCACTAGTTCCTTTAATTAGTGGTTAATTACAGAGGAAACCAACATCAGATCTGTATTCAGATAAAGTGAATGGTATTCTATCAACTGTACAATTGGCGGACACCATGCCAAAAGAAAGTGAATCTTCATCAATTGAGTTCTTGATTGGAAACGACTACTACCTAGACTTTGTAAATGGTGAAAAATTAGAACTTCAAAATGGACTTTATTTGCTTTCGTCTAAGTTTGGATGGATACTAAGTGGTAGAATAAAGGACACATACGATGATTCAAATGACAATCATTTGCTCATTCTAACATATGGCAGTAAACAGAACAGTTCAAATGCATTTACTACTGTAGATAATGTACTATCACCAAAGACAGAACTAGAAGACTTTTGAAACATTGAAACTATTGGAATTGTAGATATAGAGTCACAAAAAGAAGACGATCTAGTCAGGGAAGACTTTACTAGAACGCTTAAGTATGAAAACGGCAGATACCAAGTCACTTGACTTGTCACTATGAAAAACAATCCAGACATACTAACGAAGTATCATAATGTGATTCAAGACATACATGCCATATTTCCAGACACCCAGATAGGGGGATTTGGCTTTAAAAAGCAGGGGATTTGACCAAAAATAGGGGGATTTTGGTTCAAGCGGGTGTAAATCACTCGTAATCATAAATATGCACAAAACATTGTTATTTTCACACTTTATTTCATTATAAATAATTTTCTGTTAACTGCAAAATAAATTCAACAAATGAGAATGTCATTCATGGCATATAATTTTCTGTTAAGTGAAAAATAAATTCAAAAGAACATAATCCACTTGCATATTATATCTTTTACTCAAAACTGTCATTGTCCACTACTTTTCACTAATTTAATTGATTAGCACTTTTCAGTTTATCCACATAGATCTAGATGTCTTTCAATTCGAACAGTTCTTACTCTTTCTTACTGATTCAACTGATGGTATAATTATATTCCACACAGCTGTGGTGTTCGTTAAACTTGACACTTATCAAACTATGGATCGTTTCAGTTGAAAGTTTATGTCTTGAGTCAGTTTGGATTTTTCTAAGGATACTGAAACATCGTTCAAGGTCAGCATTTGAATGGGGAATTGTCAAACAAGCCAAGGCAACACCACCTAGCACACTGAACTGCTTCTGGGCTCTTCCAGGAAGAGTTCTGTTTCTCATTTTTACCCAGAATGACAGTAGGGATGCCTCTGTTACCTCCTCCATTGTTTCAACATCTGGTACTTTTGAAACGATAGCCTCACGATAAGGGGGGAGTGACTCTATTGGTGTTACATTGTACTCTTCTGCTTCTTCTTGAAGCTTACCAATGTCTATGTCAGGAAGGACCCTCTTCCCTAGCTGCACCACTGAAGTAAACAAATAAAGTATGTCAAGCACATTTGTATATATTTATTGCCTTTTTTTAATCATTTCATTTAAATAAATAATGAAACAAGAATTGTTAACTTAAATTCATCTTGAATAGAGTATTCTAAAAAGACTATACTTTTTTCAAACTGGCTAAATATATAAATAAATATTGTTTTATTTACCAGCTTCAGGGGATGCCTTGTCTCTAGTCTCTGGATTAAGTAAGGACAAGGTCTTTAGTATGTCATCTTTGAAAGGGAATTTTTTCACTAGAGAAGATGTCAGAGTAATGTAGAATAGACGCACATGCTGATAAAATTTTGCTATGGTTTCTTGGGGTATGGTGTCCTCATTGTCCTTGATGTACTCTCGTGTCCTTAAACCTATGGCAATGTTGTCATTGGGATGTTGCACCTCTTCAGTTTCGAAAGAAATGGTAGTAACGTCCCTGGCTGCTATGATAGTCTGCGAGGTAACAAACTTTCCTAGAAGCTTCCTCATAAGACGTTGCATCTCTGTGTGAAGGTGACCAACCATAGGAGCTCCAGCCTGCAAGCCAGAAACATTATATTAACATATTTAAATGCATTAAGTACAGTCCTCAAACAATTAACAATGCTTGTAAATAAATTTCAATGTGAATTTTGAATTTTTACAGGTCAGGCCCATGATAAAAATTAATTATAGTTTAAAAAATTGTATTTTTAAAAAGATTGTCCCTTTAACATATCTACAATTTAATATTTCTTTATTGATTGTTTACTATACCTGGAATGCTGTATTGAAGTCTGTCATCAGGGGAATGATATGATCTAGATAGGAGAAGATCAGCCATGTCAGGGGGTCTGTCAGGCTATCGGCAATGCGTTTTACCCTGCCAGGTTTCTCATTGTCCTCGTGGGGTTGGAAGTAGCTACAGAGGGCTGGCCATTGCTGTAGTACCCTCTTTACACACTTCTCAAGGCTAAGCCAGCGGGTGGCACAGTGTTTGACTATCTTCATTGGCTCTGTGTCAGTGAATTCTTGGAACTCTTTATAGATCTTCTTCCGCTTGGCACTGAAAAAAACATTATGAAACATGCTCAGTCAATGAATGCATTAGCAGATAACAAGAGATATTAATTAGCTCTATGAGGTTTTTACAAGTAAAAAAATATTGAAATTACATTAAGTATAATGATATATACATCTAATTTTTTTTTATCCCCCGCCGAAAAATTTCGGCGGAGGATATAGAAATAGTCTCCGTCCGTCCGTCCGACCTTCCGTCCTTCCGTCCGTCCGTCCTTCCGTCCGACATTTTTGTCCGGAGCATATCTCTAAAAGTATTTGAGTTATCAACTTGAAACTTCATAGGTGGATAGACCTCATTGAGGAGGAGTGCAGTGCACAAGAATGATAACTCTACCTTGCATGATTTTTGAGTTATTGCCCTTTGTTATTTTTCAAAATTGATTTTTGTCCAGAGCATAACTCCAAAAGCCTATGAGATATTAACATGAAACTTCATAGGTGCATAGATCTCACTCAGGAGGTGTGCAGTGCACAAGAATGATAACTCTACCTTTTATAATTTTTGAGTTATTGCCCTTTGTTCTTTTTCATACTTAATTTTTCAATTCAATTTTTTTCTCAAAAAGTATTTGAGGTATCAACTTGAAACTTCATAGGTGGATAGATTTTACTGAGGAGGGATGCAGCACACAAGAATGATAACCTACCCTGCATTATTTTTCAGTAATTGCCCTTTGTTATTTTCAGCCTTTAGTATTCACATAGGTTTCAAATCTGTAATCACTATAGCCATCAGTTTTCATTACCAAAAGACCTGTTAAAATGGAATTATTCCGCTCTACTACATATACATTCTTCCAATGAGCAAACACATTCGGCGGGGGATGGCCATGTTGACATGGCTCTTGTTTAATTCTGTTTCTGAATAAAGCAAAATAAAATAAATTTTTGTGTTCCTTTTAAAATGACTTTAATGATGTTAACTAACCTATGGTGAAAGTGGAAGAAGATGTCTATGAGTATCTCTTCTACAGCTACTGGAAGAGTCTTTGCGGCTGCCTAGACACACAGGTTAGCTAGATGGCAAACACAGCCCACATTAATGATGTCAGGATTCTTCTCACGGATTTTGGTCAGAAGACTTTTGTTGTTCCCAATCATCACATTACAGTTGTCACTACCAAACCCAACGCAATTAGACCAAGGAATACCTCTGTCTCTGTAAAACAAATCGATATTTCATAATAAGTTGCATTACATGATGTAAGTAGCATCAAGGCTTTGTGCTTTTATAGCATGTGCATTTAAAAATTTACACTTAAAATATTAAAAAATATTTAAAATTAAACAGAAATAAAAGCTTTAAAACTTACCTAAATACTGTGTCAATAGCATTGAACAGGTTCTCTGCTGTCCCAATGTTACATACAGGCATGGCAAGGAATTTTGTTTTAACACACTGAATTTGTGGGTCAAATATTTTCAGAAGAATTGCTAGGAACTTGTTTGTTGTCTCTTTGGTCACAATGCTTTCATCTACCATAATGAAAATTTCCCATTTTTACATAAATGGCTCACATGATCATCTAGTTCTGGGCCCATAACACAATTTACTATATTAGTACATTTCGTCCGCTTGGAAGCATATTTCTTAGCTATATCAGAATCCGGAAACATTTTTTTACTCAAGTCACTGAAATGATCACATACTGAAAATGGTAAGTTGTGTTCAACCACAAACTTAGCAAACCTCAACTCGGCTCTACTGACGGCATCCTGAGGTTGAGATACTTTAAACATGGAATTCACTTTCTTATTAAAAACAGTCGATCCAATGTTCATTTTGTGTTTTTCTGTATTGGCATGTTTTAATATGTCCGTCTTCCCAGTGTGTCCCACATTTATGTCTAATTGGCAGGAACTACAATACACATGGTGAACACCTTTTTTACTTGAAGTGACCCATGGAAATTCTGTTTTCCAGTTACTTTGATACTTGGCAAGATTCTTTTTTCTTTTAGTGTCCGACTTAAGGTCGGGAGAACACGCACGTTTAATGATTAAAATGCGAATGAAGATTAACGAGTCATTTTGTCTTTTAAAAGAAAAAATAACACCGTAATTTTGCATGTTAAAAGAAAAATTAACACCGTAATTATGCATGTTTTCACGCATTTCAATATTGTCTAAAATCCTTCTTATTTAATAAGATCGCACCTTAGCACATAAAATAAATATATCAAACGCTCTGCGCCGAAAACAATTAAAAGATCAAAACCAATTTAATCCACTGTGACAAACATGCCACTTAAAAACACAGAATAATGACATATACACGGCCTGTAATTAGACACCTGTTGTATACACACTTTGTCGAGTTAATTGCAGTAGATACGACGTCGCTGCAGACGATAAGCTGTAAACACGCTTATACTGGAGGTGTTGTGTACATTGATGTGTAATCGGTAATTTAATCAGTAAAATTGATGATTTTTTTTTCTTTTTAAAAATCGGGGGATTTTGGTCCCACGGCGGGGGGTCGGGGGTTTGCTTAAAAAATCGGGGTTTTTTTTTCCCCGGCGGGGATATGGCATGTATGTTCAAGATCAACTCAAGAAAGGTATAATAGATGAAGTCAAACCAAATAAATCAAAAGGTACTGTGCATTACCTAGTTCACCATGATATCATTACACCACAAAAAACAACAACCAAACTTCGGGTAGTATATGATGCATCGGCAAAGACTTCAAAAGAAAATAACAGTTTGAACGACTGCTTGTGTCGTGGTCCTGTTATGGTTCATGACTTATGTGGAATATTGTTGAGATTTCGAAAACATCCGATCGCAATTGTAGCCGCCATAGAGAGGGCGTTCCTTCAAATAGAACTACAAAGAGATCAACGAGATGTTACAAGGTTCTTATGGTTAAAAGATGTCGGGAAGATGTACGCTATGTGTAGGCGGGAACAACAACGACGTATTGACGACGGGAATCAAGATGATGTCAACGTATATATCAACGTCACTACCGCTTTACTTGTATATTATTGAGATATTAAAAAGATAGAAACAAGACACAACGCGAAGCTTATATATCTATACCCCACATTTTGGTGTCGTGACGAACTTGTGAGAAATTACAGACAAACATGGATCTTAATAAGCTGAAAAAGAAGAGAGCCGCTCAGAAAGCCGTTATTTCCAGACATTTGCAGAAGTTAGAAGATTCTACTGATGATTGCGTTCAGTTCCAGATGATATTTCATAATTTACAGTCTAAAGTTGCAGCACTTGAAGAGCTTAATGAGAACATTATTACTCTAACCGAGGAGGAGGATTTCGAAGTTGAGATGGTCGAAACAGAAGATTGCATGCTAGATTTAAAGATTCAAATCCGAAACATGGAAGCAGAACAGAGACAACCCTCCGGTAATGTTATACCACCCCCGCTGCTCAATCCCGTAGATCCACCGCTAGATGAGCCGCCTATGAATAACAGTGCCAACATCGCATATCATTCTGAGAACACTTCCGGTAACACGACCAACAGTACTTCCGATGGACATGTAAGTGACATTTCTATACATAACGGACAGTATTCTCAATTTCACAAACTTCCAAAACTTACGCTACCTATATTTACCGGCAACATTTTAGAATGGCAGACATTTTGGGATTCGTTTGAGTCAAGTGTACACAATAACGTATCTTTATCTGACGTACAGAAGTTCACATATCTGAGATCTTTACTCCACGACGATGCAGCTGGAGTGATTCAGGGATTTCCGTTAACGCATTCAAACTATACACAAGCAGTTGCGTTACTGAGAGAACGTTTCGGACAGGAACACCAGATTATAACCGCTTACATGCAGTGTTTATTAGATTTACCCCGTCCTTACTCTGACATTAATAGTTTACGAAATTTTCAAGAGAAAATGGAGTCATATATTAGAGGATTGCAATCCCTTGGTCAAGGTCAAGACTCTTACGGTAATTTACTTGTCCCTGTGGTATTAGAGAAATTTTCTGCTGAAATCAAACGCAACATGACTCGTGACCATGGAAACAGTAACTGGCAACTTGTGGAACTACGACAAGCATTGAAAAAGGAGATCGCTATTCTGGAGTCAGGTCAATCTTTACATACAGGTGAAGTTCATAACGCTGCCGCTTCATTCCTTAAGGGGATCCGATTTCATCCGAATGGGTCACGCAAACAGCAGACGACAAATGAAAAGAGAGCAGAACGTCCAAGATGTCCTTTTTGCGGCGACCATCACTTAGCAAATGACTGTATCAATGCCGTTTTTGTCAGCGAAAACACCACACTAGCATCTGTGACAGTAATTCCCAGCCATTAACCCCACATAGTAATTTGAATGCTACAGCCCCAAGTTACACTCCATGTTTAAGAGATCAAGCTACTTCCGGTTCCAAAATCATTTCCGGTTCCAGTGATCAGTCCGCAATACTACATTCTACTACACATTCTAGACCTAAAGTTTTATTGAAAACCACTGTTGCGAAAGTAACATCTGGAGTTGCATCTGGTAACCTTTGTACAGATGTTAACATTTTATTTGACGAAGGGGCACAGAGGTCATTTGTAACAAAGGAACTTGCAGAAAAACTTGAATTAAGAAGAACTGGAACAGAAGTCGTAGAGCTTGCAGCATTTGGTTCATCTTCAAAGAAAGTAAGTCATATTGATACCGCAACAGTATATTTATTAACTGATACAAAAGAAAAGATAGCTATAGATGTCCTGATTGTCCCAACTATTTCCGTCCCCTTAAGAAACGTGCAACAAGCCACAACAGCACTTCCGTATCTTCGTGGGCTTAAACTTGCGCATCCGGTTACAGATGACGACACTTTCAATATATCACTTCTGATTGGTGCAGATAAGTACTGGGATATTGTCAGTAATAGAGTGATCCGTGGTAATGGTCCCACAGCTGTCCAGTCCAAGATAGGATACTTGCTTTCCGGTCCTCTTCCGGTTTCTTCTACTGATACCGCTACAGACTGTATATTAAATGTATTAATATCTAAGCCAGATACACATGACCTAGAACGTTTCTGGAAGTTAGAGTCTCTAGGTATTCAGCCTGAAAAAGAAGATGAAACTACCTCTGACTACCTGGCAACATATCAGGAAAAATGCATTGAATTCAAAGACATTGAATTCAAAGACGGACGTTATTCAGCACAGTTACCATGGAAACGTGACCATCCGGTGTTACCTGACAATTATAACATTGTTCTTAAAAGAACGGAAAATACAATCTGACGCCTACGACAAGATACTAACATGTTACAGAAGTATGGCCAAATTATTTCAGAACAAGAAAATCGAGGCTTTATCAAGAGAGTTACAGACGACAATATAGATAAAAGAGTTCACTACATCCCACATCACGGTGTGAAAAAAGATTCAGTCACCACCCCAATCCGAATAGTATATGATTGTAGTTGCCGCCAGAATAAAGATTCCCCTAGTCTGAACGATTGTTTAGAATCAACGCCCCCGGAATTAAATGACTTAACCAATATACTTATGAGATTTCGCTTACACAGATTTTCTGTCTCGACAAGACATTGAGAAGGCATTCCTGCACGTGCAACTTGACGAAAGAGATCGTGACGTCACCCGGTTCCTGTGGTTAAGTGATAGTACCAATCCAGATAGTAACTTGGTAACTTACAGGTTCAAATCTATACTCTTTGGAGCTACATGTTCACCGTTTATCCTACAAGCTACACTTATGAAGCACCTTGATAACAACAACAACAAATGGGTGAGTGAAATACTGAAAAAAGATTTATATGTAGACAACGTTATCTCTAGTTTTCCGGATGAAAGCACGGTTATTAAATATTATCACGATACAAGAGACCTGATGTCATCTGCTGGCTTTAATCTGCGTTCCTGGAATTCAAACAGCTGTCATTTGCGCGCGCTTTCCAAAGCAGACGACATACATGATTCAGACGAAATTACGAAGATTCTAGGCATGAGATGGGACGCTATTAATGACCAGATATTTTTGAACCAGAGATCTATAAATAGGCTCAATCCGATGACAAAACGCACCATACTCCAAGAAACGGCGAAATTGTATGATCCTCTTGGATTCTTCAGCCCAATAACGATAAGAGCTAAGCTCCTACTACAAGTCATATGGAAAGAAAATTACGAATGGGACGCACCACTTCCGGAAGCCATACAGACACAGTGGCAGAATATAGCAGAAGATATCAATGGTACAATTACGAACAAATTTCAAAGATACTACTTTGATAAAGCAGACATAAAAATCACTTCCGGTAATGTAGGGAACCAGACAGAACTAGCAGATGATACAACTTCCCTTCATGTATTTTGCGATGCAAGTCTACAAGCCTATGGATCAGTGGCATACATCGTCAAAGGCAATCAGTCTACATTGGTCATGTCGAAAACTCGTGTTTCACCACTTA